TGGCTTGGGAGGCCTCAGGAAACTTAACAATCCTGGCAGAAGGTGAAGGGGAAGCAAAGACCTTCTTCACATGGTGGCAGAAGAACTAGCAAGAGCAGGGAAAACTGCCTTATAAAACCATCAGATCTCATGAGAACTCACTCACTATTACGAGAACAGCATGGGGGAAACTGCACCCCGATGATTCCATTACCTCCCACCAGCTTCCTCCCTTGACACATGGGGATTATGGGGATTACAATTCAAAATGAGATTTGGGTGGGGACACAAAGCCAAACCATATGAGGATATAAGGCTCCTGAATGAATACTTTCAGCAGAGCATCTATGATTTTAGTGAGTTTGATTTTAACCCTGACAGCCTATTGATTAAGCTATCTTTTTTTCTATCAGGATCCTAGGATCTTCTTCTATAGATACTCATTGTCTTAGGAATCTCCAGATAAACAGATTCCACAACTTCCCTTAATACCCTATTTCTGTGCTTAGTAATTGTCCCTCTTAATAAATCTTCTGAGCTAATCTGAATTCCTTGTGTTCTAATGTAAGGCCAGTCATCTCACATTTAATTCAGATCTTTTTGATACCTATATCACTATTGAACCAAATTGCAGTTAGAAATACTGACAAATGTGTTATCATGGAGTTTTCAGCATGAGCATATGCTTTTGACAATCAACTGTGATGGGTTAACATGCCAGAGAGCATCATTGTTGATGTAATCAGAGACATATTAACAGTGTTCTCTTAAAGGCACAGCCCCAGTTCATCTTTGACAATTGTTACACACTGACTTGTGTGACATGAATCAGAAATAAGCAGCATTTTAAAAGCCAGCAAAATAAAAGGAACAACATCTAAGTTATCTTCAGCAGAATTTTCTGCTGCTCTGTCCAAGTTGCATCCCAGAGATCTGGTTTTCAGGGTATTGGCTCATTCTCTTTATTTTATTTTATTTATTTAACTTTTTTTTGGAGATGGAGTCTCACTCTGTCGCCCAGGCTGGAGTGCAGTGATGCAATCTCCACTTACTGGAATCTCTGGCTCCTGGGTTCCAGCAAAACTTCTGCCTTAGCATCCCAAGTAACTGGGATTGCAGGTGCTTGCCACCACATCTGGCTAATTTTGGTATTTTTAGTAGAGATGGGGTTTCACCATATTGGCCAGGCTAGTCTCCAGCTCCTGACCTCAGGTGATCACCCCAGCTCAGCATCCTGAAGTGTCGGGATTGCAGGTGTGAGCCACTATGCCAGCCACTATACTTCTCCTTAGAAGGTACTACTTCCTGGTCTGGTTTCTTGGATGGTTCAGCTTTTTAAGTCATGTCCAGAATTAATCAAAAGCAAAAAAACCAATTAATCTCTTGGAGTCAAAGTCCAGGTGCAAGTGACTTTTCTTTCTTTGTGTGTCGGAGAAGTACCAGTCCAAGTGCCACTGTGTTGTTCAGGAGATTTGAAAAGCGGTGCTGAAAAGGGACTCAAGTGGAACCATCGCATGTGCCCGGCCATCTTACCAGCAAAGCCCGTGTGCCACCAAAGACCCTGAAGCTTTCTGTGTAAACTAGGTCGGAGTTCCAGAAGTGTGTTCTTTGAACATGATCTCTGGAGTACCGTTCCACTACCAAAAAGAAAAAGTGGTAAAACCGTGCAGAAAACATAGAGTACAGAGGTGGATTGACCATAAACTGAGGAAGTGTAAGATTTATTCATAGAGGTCCCATTCAAAACTCTACAGGTATATTTGTGATTTGTGTTCTTGGAATCACATGTTCCTGGGCCGCTCTCAAACCCACTTTGCTCTTCTATAGAACAGCACTGAATATACCTTGCCTGTACCTAGTGTTCCTTTACTTAAAAGGGCCACCAATCCCAGTACTTTGGGAGGCCAAAGTAGAAGGATCACTTGAGCCCAGGAATTTTAGACCAGCGTGGGCAACACAGCGAGACCTCATCTAATTTTTTTAAAAAAGGGAAAAGGCAAAAAATCAGCTTCAGGACCCCCAAATCTGGATCCCACCCCTGACTTTGGGAGTTTGTTTATTAAACTCATATGTCCTAAAGTAAAGACTTCTGCCTAATTTCATTTAAGATAATGTTTCCTCTTGAGTGGTAGTAGGACAGCACTCTCTCTCTCCTAGTGAGCAGCCTGTCACTCAGAAGGAAGATGACAGGTGAGAGGTCACAGCAGTCCTCATATCACCCAGCTTCTCTCAACCCCACAGGTCCGTATGCCTTCCCCCCAGCCCCTGCCTCTCTAGATATTCTTTTCTTAAGGACATTTCATCTGGCAGGTGAGCAGGACTCAAAGTTCCCATTTCAGTTCCCCAGACATCCTTTGGAAGTGGGTGTCCTTTCCAGAGCTTTTACGTCACCTCCTTGTCACTCTCAATTAGAATCTGCTGGGCACTGCCTGAGCTCCCAGGCAGGACTGGGTCCTTTAGGACATAAAGAGAAATGGAAAAGGAAACTAGGAAGAAGAGCAGAGGCAGACACGTTGACATTGTATTTATGCCAACGGAACACAAAATGGGTGTGAGTATAACACAGAACCTGGAGTTCATAAATTTTTGTATGGGAGTGAATTGACACTTTTTTCTTAGAATTCCAGTTTAGGAGAAGAAATGAGGCCCTAAGCTTCTTGAAAAGAAATAACTGGCTTCTTCTGCCCACCAGACCTGTTCTGGATTCCTGAAAGGAAAGAAAGGTTGCGGGGTCGGGCCTGGTTAATACTTGTATGGGAGAGAGAAGAAAGGCTTGTTCTTGGGCTTCCCACTGCCCACCAAATGTATCCTACTTACCCTACCTCTACAGAGTGACTTGTCCGAACCTCAGAGCAAAGACTTGGTGAGAGGTGGGGACATGGAAGCCTGTGGCATAAATGGCCAGGACAGTTTTTCTGTGTGATCAGCATGGGTCAGTCGCCTCCAAACATATGCTTTGGAAGTCCCTGTTGTGGTGAAAAGAGCCCCACATGGAGTTCAGAGGGCATCTGGAGTCATAGCCCTGCTGATTCTATGCCATATTATGCTTACTGATTCTATGCCATTTCCTGGACTCCTCTGAGACCCAGTTTCTCCCTGTTCATAACAAGATCGTGACACCCGTTTTTCATTCACAGTGCTCAATCATTGTGGCACCTGAGTTCATGATGAGTTGAGTGTCTGGGTCAAGGACATGGGGTGTTCCGCAAGCATTAAACATGAACCTCCCATGGGGGCTGTGCGTTGTCGGTCCACCTCCCCGCCCATCGCTCAAACCGGGTCTTGTCACATTTGCTTCCTCCAGCTCTGATTTCATAGCTCAGGGCAGCTGGAGGTCACAAGGCCCCTAGGCACCATCCAGCCTCTGATGTCCAGCGTGGTTCATATGTGCTTTTGGCCCAAGTGCCTGCAGGGGCATGAGGCAGCTGGAGGTTTGGCTCAGTGGATACAAGAAGGAACACGAAAGGAGGGTTGTTTTGGTTTGGAGTTTAAATTGTCTCCCCTTTGTTCTTTCACTCAAGAAAGGCTTTGAGTCTGGGCTTATCCTCCCGGCTGATTTCTTGTCTGACTCCACTGTTTTTGTTCTTGTCTCACATGGTTAATGTTCTTAATTTCATTTCGCTTTATGTTTTTCCTTCTGAACTCTCATCTCATCCTCTTCTGATTGATCTCCTTGCTCCACATTCCCATCCTTTCCTCCTTTCTGTCGCCTCAAGTCCTTTCGAAGGCCTCTGCACAGATAAGCAGATTCATCTTTCTCAAAACAGACAGCAACTCTGAGTGGGGAACCCCTTCATGCAAACATCTGCAGCTGCCCTGTGGGCCCCTCTAGCTCAGACTGTCTGACTGCAAAAATCCATCTTACACCACAAGCCAATGCACACACAGGTGTAGGTAGAAGAACTGCAAAAATATTTAGCCTTGAAACATGTGGTGGCTGCACCATATTTTCTGTTCCACATACTTTGATTTCTTTTTTTCGTTATTCTTTTCCTCCCTCTCTCCCTTCCTTCCTTCCCTTCTTCCTTCTTTTTTTCCTCCTCTTCCTTATAAGGGTCCTTATAAGTGAAGGAGGGAAGCAAAAGAGTCAAGATCAGAGAGATGTGATATGAAACACCAGCAGCCATTGCTGGCTTTGAAGATGAAAGGGGCCGCGAACAAACCAAGGAATGTAGGCAGCCTCTAGAAGCTAGAAAAAGTAAGAAAATGGATTCTCCCCTACCACCTCCAAAATGAACAGCAAGCCTGCCATTACCTTGACTTTGGCCCAGTGAGACTCATGTCAGATTCCTGACCTCCAGAAATGCAATACATTTGTGTTTTTTTGTTTTGTTTTATTTTTGAAGGAGTCTAACTCTATCGCCCAGGCTGAAGTGCAGTGACGTGATCTCAGCTCTCTGCAACCTCCACCTCCCAAGGTTCAAGCAATTCCCGTGCCTCAGCCTCCCGAGGAGCTGAGACTGCAGGTGCTTGCCACCATGCCTGGATAATTTTTGTATTTTTAGTTGAGATAGGGTTTCACCATGTTGGCCTGGCTGGTCTCAAACTCCTGACCTCAAGTGATCAGCCTCCCAAAGTGCTGGGATTACTGGTGTGAGCCACCGCGCCTGACATGTGTTGTTTTAAGCCACCTAGTTTGTGGCAGAATGTTTCAGCAACAATAGGAAACTAACAGAGATGTTTTCTTGGTCAATGACGTCGCATTATGAATTAGAACATTTCTAGTCCAGGGGCATTTTTCTTTAAAAACCTGGTTTTTTTTCTTCCAAGGCTGGTTCATGGTATTGTCCCCAGTCTGAGAAAGGAAGAGAGATCAGAGGTCTGGCCTCCTGAACAGCTATGCAGCCTGCCAACCTGCTGAACTTCCGAGACTCAGGCGGCTGACTGAACGCTAGAGAACAGGATGCATAGCTAATGCTGAGGAAAGTGGGGTTCCCTGGAGGGTGGTTCTGCTTCCTACTCAGCAAACATCACAAAACTCTGTCCACCTGCATATTGTAACTTTACCATTTTTACTAAAGGACAAAGGCAGTCACTGTACCTCAAGGGCTATGCTGACTCATCTAAAGGACTCTACAACTGCATTCTGGAGCAGAAGTTTCCTAGAGCTGATGATTGTGAGGAGAGCTTCATGGGATACAATGATGAGTGCTGTGGTAAGCCCCACCCAGATGAGCATGAGTTCATTCATTCCCCTTTAACCCCATCATGGTCAGATCCTATTCAATGACAATCAGGACTGCCATTGCTGGAACAATTGGTCTTGAGAAAACAACTTCAGCTCCCAGGACTTTGTTTCCCTCTCAATAAAATGCCAGCATTACCCAGTTCAGAGGCTGTAATGACAGCATCCACAGCAGGTACTTCCCCAAAGTTCTTGAAGGAGAACTGTGTAAGGATTTCTTTGCAGGTGTTTTAGATTCTCTCTCTCTCTCTCTCTGTGGTGAAGCCCAGGGTTCTTTGCACCCTCCCCTCTGGACTTGAAGTGGATACCATATAAAATTACATCATATTTCATAGACAGAACACTGTTTTGATGATGGGGTCTTCTCACTAGGGTCAACGGCTTCTCTCTACTCAAGCTCCTTCTGTCTGGGAAGCCAGGTAGGAGCACACAGCATTTGTTGATTACACCAGAGAAATATTAGGGATAGATGTTTTGCCAAGATTTTTCCTTCCAGAGCAGAGCACGAAGTGCTTCCACCTCAAAATAGGTTTGTGTTGTGGGTTTATAAATTCTGACATGCACTGTGGTCTTTAGGGTGCTAGATTCTTTACTACTAACAGTCTTCCTATTTTTGAGAAGCTGCTTGTAATACAAACAACCCTGAAGCTTAATGTTTCTAGAATGGACGACTCAACTTTATCGTGAATCATGGTCAACCAGTTGATGAGACCATGGTCCTCATTGCCCTAAGCCATGCCCTATGCAACCTTGAGCCAATCCTGACTTAATGCAGGAGGGGTGTAAACTTTAGCCCCACATTCTAGAAGTCAGCCTCAGTCGGCCTAGCCAGACGACCTCTGTGGGAATAACCAGCATTCTGAGTGCTAAGAATTTTGCCTTTGAACCTGCCAAATTTCCCAGTTACTTGAGGCTCAGGGCCTTGCCTTGATTTTGCTAATCTCCCCCCTTGGGATGACCATCCTAACCATAAACACTAACAACTTTCCCCGATACCTTCTCCCTGCCTAAGTCCTTGTTGGATCACAGAATACCACCACCCACCAGAATTCCATGTTGGGACACCCTGCAGCCTTGCAATGAACCGCACAGTGCTCGGTGCTGACTTGCGGGTTAGCCCTACCCTGCTACCTGTTCTGCTGACTGCATTTTCTCTTGGAGCCCAATTCCCCAGCCCCTCCAAAGCTGTCCATCCCACTGTAGTTATGCCTGGCCATCTCCCAAGATATGTCAACTATTGATAGATCAACACTGTAGAAGCCAGAAAATCTTATTAGAGTGAATTGTTAATTAGGATAGGAACTCTTGGAATGTAGCAGCAAGCAGAGCCATCAGGGTTTGGGCAGTGGAGAATGTGTAAGCATCACATTAGGGAATTACTCTCTGAGCAAAAGATAAAATGAGATGCCTCAAACCGAACAGAAAAGAAATGATTGCTGATTTTACAAAAACTGGAAGATTTTAAATTTATTTCTGCTGTTGTTTTTGTCTTTATACATTTTTAAATTATTTTTACTGTGACAAAATAAACAGATAATTTATCATCTTAACCATTTTTAAGGGTACGATTCAGTGGCATCAGGTATGTATATTCACAGTGCTATGCAACATCACCACCAGAACTCTTTCTGTCTTGGAAAACTGAAACTTTGTATCAATTAAAGAATAAATCCTCCTTTGGGAGGCCGAGGCGGGTGGATCACGAGGTCAACAGATCGAGACCATCCTGGTCAACATGGTGAAACCCCGTCTTTACTAAAAATTACAAAAAATTAGCTGTGCACGGTGGTGCGTGCCTGTAATCCCAGCTACTCAGGAGGCTGAGGCAGGAGAATTGCCTGAACCCAGGGGGCGGAGGTTGCGGTGAGCCGAGATCGCGCCATTACACTCCAGCCTGGGTAACAAGAGCGAAACTCTGTCTCAAAAAAAAAAAAAGAAAAGAATAAATCCTCCTGTAGTCCCAGCTACTGGGGAGGCTGAGGCAGAAGAATTGCTTGAACCCAGGAGGTGGAGGTTGCAGAGAGCCGAGATCATGCCACTGCACTCCAGCCTGGGTGACAGAGTGAGACTCCATCTCAAAAAAAAAAAAAAAATTCTTATTTCTTCTCTTCCCCAGCCCCTGGCAACCATGGTTTTACTTTTTGTCTCTCTGAGTCTGACTACTCTAGGTACCTCATGTAAGTGGAATCATATAGTACTCGTCTTGTTGTGATTGGTTTATTTCACTTGATGTCCTTAAGGTTCATCCACATTGTAGCATGTCAAAATTTTCTTTTTTTTTTTTTAAGGCTGAATAACTTTTTATATCTACATATCTTTATAGAGAGAGAGATATATAGAAAAATTATTCAGCTGTATATGTATATGTATATGTGTGTATATATATATATATATATATATATCTCACATTTTGTTTATCCGTTCCTCTGTACATGAACACTTGAGTTGCTTCTACCTTTTGGATATTGTGAAAATGCTGCTATATACGCACATCATGCAAATATCTGTTCTAATCCTTGCTTTCAGTTCTTTTGATATGTACCAGAAGTGGGATTGCTAAGTCATATGGTAGTTCTATGTTTAGCTTTTTGAGGAACTGTCATGCCATTTTTCCATAGCAGTGGCACTAACAGCGTGCAAAGGTTCCAATTTTTCCACATCCTCTTCAACACTTGTTATTTTCTGGGTTTATCTTTTTAATAGTAGCCATCCTAATGGGTGTGAGGTAGAATCTTTCTGTTTTTTTTTTCATAAATCCTCTGTAAGTTTCCATCCTCTGAAAATATTTGCCAGGGAAGATCTTGTCACCCCCGCTTCCCATAGATGAATATTATTCAAGTTAAAGGATATCACCTCTTTGTCCTCACTAATTTGTAGCTTGATAATATTTTTAACAATGAAAGTTTCCATCTATCTATATCTAGAGTTTAGTAAAGGCCTTATCAATAGCTATTAGGTAAAATATTAAATAAAGGTCTTAATATGAGTATTTGATGTTATTTATTTTCATGATATTATTTATATGAAAGTAGAAACAAGTTTGTCTTGTTTTACCTTTCTTCAGAATCCCAGAAAATTTATTTTCAAATGTGATGACATATTCCATAGGGATGCAAAACCCCCAAATTTTTAAGGTATCTGAGGGCTTTTAAGGAAATATCTAAGTCCTTAGAAATGTGAGAGAGATCATAATTATTAATAAGCATTACTTAAATTATTCCACTAGCAAAGCATTTTAATAAATAAAGACATATTAAAAAATTACTAGTGAAACATATCTAAATCTTTGTATATAATCTAGTAAGAATATAGTGACTAAAAACATTACATGTAATTTATTTCAACTATTAATTTAAAATATCAATATTAATTCCATGTTATGCAAACAATTTATTTTTTTGAAACCATGTGATTGTGTTTTTTTAAAAAGGTCCTAAATTGCATAAGAGTAAAATAAATTATTTTTATTTTTCGTATGCATACATATATATGTTTCTGGGGATAGGGTTGCAAGGGATGGAGTTTCACTCTTGTTGCCCTGGCTGGAATGCAATGGCACTATCTCAGCTCACCACAACCTCTGCCTCCGAGGTTCAAGCAATTCTCCCGCCTCAGCCTCCTGAGTAGCTGGGATTATAGGCATGCACCACTCCGCTCCGCTAATTTTGTATTTTTTTTAATAGAGACGGGTTTTCATCATGTTGGCCAGGCTGGTCTTCAACTCTTGACCTCAGGTGATGTGCCTGCCTCGGCCTCCCAAAGTGCTAGGATTACAAGTGTGAGCCACCGCTGTAATATATATGTATATATTTTTAAGAGACTGGGCCTTGCTCTGTCACCCAGGCTGGAGTGCAGTGGCATAGTCATGGCCACTTGAACTCCTGAGCTCAAGGGATCTTCCCATTTCAGCCTCCCAAGTAGCTGGAACTACAGGCAAGCAGCATCATGCCCAGCTACTTAATCCAAGCACTTTGGAGGCCAAGGCAGGTGGATCACCTGAGGTCAGGAGTTCAAGACCAGCCTGACCAACATGGTGAAATCCCATCTTTAAAAAAAATAATAATAAAAAATAAATAAAACAGTTTTTTTGTAGAGACAGGGTCTCACTCTGTTGAACAGGTTGGTCTCAAACTCCTGGCCTCAAGCGATTTTCCCACCCCCAACCCCAGCAAATACATTATATTCATGAAGTCAATATAATGACTTACCATTCTTTTATTGCTTTACCATTCTTTATTTCTGATGCCTTTCTGGTTTCATGTGAAACAAATCTATTCCTTATGCTTAGATGTTCTTCCTTCTAAAATTATCTAAATTCTACTCATCTTTCAAGACCTCGCTCGGGCCTTCCTCCACTTAAAGGTAGTCTTCAGGAGGGCAGGGATTCTTGTCGGTTTTAAGGCTCTGTGATCACTACTTACAAAGTACCCGGCACTAGGAGGTGCTCTATATATGTACATTGAATAAAAGAATAAATGAATGAGTGAATAAATGAATGAGTGTCTCAGATCTTATGGCTCACTCCCTCCTTTAAAATTCTACAGTATGTGACTGAGTGTCTATATAATTCATTTGACTCTTAACATATATGTTCTGTGGCAGGCATTTGTGTTGTCCACCAAATATTTCTAGTTCTCCTCGCAGCATATGGTAGAATCACACTTTCCCCCTCATTTGACGTTAGGTTATATGTGGTTATGCATTTGCTTTAGATAATGACATCTGAGCAGAAGCAACAAGTATAACATCTAGGAAGAAGCTGTAAGAACAATTGGGTGGGCCGGGCGCGGTGGCTCACACCTATAATCCCAGCACTTTGGGAGGCTGAGGCAGGCAGATCAGGAGGTCAAGAAATCGAGACCATCCTGGTCAACATGGTGAAACCCCGTCTCTACTAAAAATACAAAAATTAGCTGGGCCTGGTGGTGCATGCCTGTAGTTCCAGGTACTCGGAAGGCTGAGGCAGGAGAA